TCTCACCTACGCCGTGCGTGCTCGTTCCAGGCGCTGAGAGCACACCTCGGATCTTCAGACTCAGCTTCGGCACTAATCTCTTTTTTTTTTTATTACTTTAAATAATCTGTAAATCGCATCATCCATCCCCATATTCATACTCCATTTTTGTTATATAAAATTGTAAATATCTTTGAATCTTAAATATATTTTTTGTTTTTGTTGTATTTTTGTTGTTTTGTTGTTCTTAGGTTAGATTCTTTTTGTTCTTTATTGTCGCTTCACGACAAAGGCTATTCGTCGGGAACCGCGATGCTTGGTTCATATAGATAGATAGCGTAAACAACAAATAAACCCGAAATACGATTCCTAACAGAAATATGATCATAATCTAGGTACTTAGTTAAAAATCTTGTAAACAAAGTTTTAATTTCAGTATCGTGTGCTATTATAACTTAAAATACTTTAATTACAACGACGAGTATAGGTATGTAAGTAGGTGCTTGGGTAGTGAAGTAAATTTCAACCAAGTTTTGTAATAAAGTACTCAGGTATTATATCTATAGTTAAATTATTACTTAATTATTTTTTCGCTATAAGTACCAATCTAACAAAAAAATGAAATTAATTTACCCTTCATTATCCTTCGGTAACTCAAAAAATTATATATTATCTGAATCCTTATAATTGCTCATTAAGTATCCATCCCCGCAACAATTATAGTAGGAACGACGTTTTGCTATTATTATAATTTATCAAAAAGATATATAATAATATACATACATATATATTATTCTTAAATTACATTTTAAAAAATTTCAACTATTTTATTCTACAAGTAATATATACTAACACTAAACAAAAATTTCGACGAGTATTTCAACAAGTATTTACAAAAAATTATTTAAGTAAACAGCGTTAAAAAAACTTTAACATTCATTCAAAAGGGCGCGCTAGCTCCGACTGCGATCTACCCCTGGGCACAGAATAAATGATAGTACTAACGTACAGAAGTTGTACTCTTTTGATGTTGACTGCTTGCCGACGTTTTAATAGCCTACATCGTTATTATTAATCAGATAAATCGCGCACGCAAGCTAAATAAAAATTTATCGCTGCGCGCGAGTGTCAGTATTACTTTGCATCTTTTCTCCTTACTACTTTACAACGGACTTTCCGTGGTTGCTAAGGGCTGTTAATAAAGAGTAAAAAAATACATTGTGAAATGATAAGTTACTTAGGTAAGGTATCTATGGTCACTATAATCGACCATATTATCTACTATGTGAGTTCTGTGATGCCCAACGCATGCAGCTTGCAAGGCCATTCGTCGGGAATCGCGATACTTGGTTCGTATAGGTAGATAGCGTAAACAACAAATCAACCCGAAATACGATTCCTAACAGAATTATGATCGTAATCTACTTAGTTGAAAATCTTGTAAACAAAGTTTTAATTTCAGTATCGTGTGCTATTGGGTAGTGAAGTAAATTTCAACTAAGTTTTGTGATAAAGTATTGAAGTATTACTTCTGTAGTTAAATTATTACTTAATTATTTTTCGCTATAAGTACCTATCTAACAAAAAAATTATATAAATAGAATAGAATAGAATAGAATAGAATAGAATAGAATAGAATAGAATAGAATGATTTTTATTCAATATGGATTATTACATAATGCTTATTGAAAGTCATTATTTTATTTACCACTGGTTCGGAAAATACCTCTGTCCTGGGAAGAACCAGCAAGAAACCCAGCGGGACTTTTTTTTTAAACATAATTTCACTTAACAATAATTTTGATTATACAATTTTAAATGAATTTTCATAGAACCAGCATGGTGGCGATCACCTTATTCCCAGGGGTTATTTTCACTCATGTATTCCTTGATATTATAATAACCCTTTTTGTACAGTTTTTCTTTAATAAAACTTTTAAACTTGTTTATTGACAAACTTTGAACATGTTCTGGGATTCTGTTGTAAAAGCGTATACATTGCCCCATAAATGAATTACTAATTCTGTGGAGTCTTGTAAGTGGCATTACAAGCTTATGTTTGTTCCTAGTGTTTAAGGTATGAACATCCTTATTCTTATTAAAGCTATTTATGTTTTTATGTACATACATTACATTTTCATAAATATATTGCGATGCCAAAGTTAATATGTTTATTTCTTTAAATTTTTCTCTAAGGGACTCTTTACAATTTAGATTATAAATCGCCCGTACGGCTCTCTTTTGCAAAACAAATATAGCTTCAATATCAGTCGCATTACCCCATAGCAAAATTCCATAAGACATTACGCTATGAAAGTAACTAAAATACACTAACCTAGCTGTCTCAACATCTGTGAGACTTCTAATCTTTCTTACAGCATATGCTGCAGAACTAAGTCTGCTTGCTAATTTAGATATATGGGGGCCCCATTGAAGTTTCGCGTCAATAGTAATACCGAGAAAAACAGTGGTATCCACAAGACTCAACTCCTCCCCATTTAAGAGCACATTGGTTTTCGAATGTTTTACATTAGGTATTGTAAATTTAATACATTTTGTCTTATTGCCGTTTAAGAGCAAATTGTTGGCGTTAAACCAATGTACTAGTTTCGATAGAGCATTATTTACATCGTCATATTTAATTGACTGCCGTTTCAGTTTGAAAATTAAAGAGGTATCGTCAGCAAATAATACTATATCGTGATTGTCCCCTACAAGATAAGGTAAGTCATTAATATAGATTAAGAACAGGAATGGGCCAAGAATCGAGCCCTGAGGAACGCCCATTGATACTACCGATCCGGAGGAACATTTACCATTAATGACGACTTTTTGAGTTCTGTTACTTAAATATGAAGTAATAAGTTTAAGCGCCAAATTTTTTACACCGTAATGTTGTAGTTTCCTGATTAATGTATCATGATGAACACAATCGAAAGCCTTGGAAAGGTCACAGAAAATACCTAAGGCATCTTGTGAATTCTCCCAGGCATTAAAAATATATTTCATAAGCTCAACACCGGCGTCAGACGTCGAGCGACCCCTTGTAAAACCAAATTGATTTTTATGAAGTAATTTATTTGTATTAAAAAAAATTAACAATTGATCCAAAATTATTTTTTCAAAAATTTTACTGAGAGTTGGTAGTACAGAAATAGGTCTATAATTAGCGGGGTCCAATGTACTACCAGATTTAAATAAAGGTATTACTTTACTATACTTCATTAAATCAGGAAACACACCAGAATCGATACAAGTATTAAAAATAATAGCAAGATGAGGTGCAATTAAATCTATTATGGACGTAATCACTGTAACGGAAATCCCCCACAAATCTGCGGTTTTCTTTACTTCTTAGTTAAATTATTAATATCAATTAAATGAAATTTATCATTATTATTCTTACAATTAAATGTCAAATTTAAGTTATTGTTACATGTCAAGTTATGCATCATTAAATTTAAATTATGTCTTAGTTTATTTTCCTGTGGCCACCCCTCTATATAAGGCAATGTAAACAAGATAACTTTAACCACATTTATGTTATTGAGATATTCAATATATTTTAATAATTGATTCTTGTTCATATTGCCTCTTCTCCCAACAAAAATTATTAATATACTATTAGGGTTAAATTTACTAGTTAAAATTTTATTCATAATATCACTGAATGATGCTCCAGGCATGCAGTAATTACTTATCTGTTGCCTTTTTAAACAGTTATTCAATGATATACCCAAGTTTTTGCCTATGTCATCACTATACACAATTATATTATTTTTTTCATTATATGAATTACTTTTTAAATTTATCTGCTTTGTTATGGTACTATCATAGAGTGTAGGTAAAGAAAATGAAGTATTACTGCTTGTCATATTATTAATATTGTTATGTCATATTAATAATATACCTTTCATTATCCTTCGGTAACTCAAAAATATATCTGAATCCTTTTAATTGCTCATTAGGCATCCATCCCCACAACAATTATAGTAGGAACGACGTTTCGTCATTATAATTTATTAAATAGATATATAAAAATTATTTACGTAAACAGCGTTAAAAAAAACTTTCAATCGTATAGAGCGCGCTAGCCCCGACTGCGATCTACCCCTGGGGCAGCTCACGATTGTAGGTACTTATTTCACGCAGGTGGCAAGAGTGACAGAGGCCTGCCCTGGGGCAGCTCGCGATTGTAGGTAATTATTTCACGCAGGTGGCAAGAGTGACAGAGGCCTGCCCTGGGGCAGCTCGTGATTGTAGGTAATTATTTCACGCAGGTGGCAAGAGTGACAGAGGCCTGCCCTGGGGCAGCTCGCGATTGTAGGTAATTATTTCACGCAGGTGGCAAGAGTGACAGAGGCCTGCCCTGGGGCAGCTCGTGATTGTAGGTAATTATTTCACGCAGGTAGCAAGAGTGACAGAGGCCTGCCGTCGCTGCGACGGTGGCGGTGTGTTGTTGCAGCGGCTGGAGGCGCAGCTCGCGGTTAGCCGCCACCGCAAGCCGCTTGTGTGTGGGAGACGCTTAACGGAATGGTTATTGCGAATCAATTGTAAATGAAGCAAAACTTTAATATTATTTTATAAACAAAACCAAAACGTTGACATTTGACAAACTCGACAAGCAAGACAGTATTGGATAAATTATTATACTGGACGGAGCTTTCTGGTTTTTAGTGTCCGATTTTTCGTTAGTGTGCAAATTACAAAGATATCAGTTGTAGATATTATGCAGATATGATTAAGGCACTCATTAACCTTAAACTTCGTGTTTAATGAAATATAGTACATAAGATAACCTGATTGTCTCACATATAAAATTTACAAGGTGAAGTCTTGCAAACCCCAAAGTCAACTCGAGATTTGAGTGTTGCACTCTACTAGTATGTCTAGTTTGCGCAATCATGTACTTGCAATCTTATAATATGGTGCTTGAATTAATCAGCTCTAAAAAAATTATTGCGCATGCGAGTAAGTTGATAATTTTATGGCCAGTAGTTTGAAAAATAATACCAAATATTCATTTAAGATATCCTTTTTAGGATGTTTTCTATATTTTTATACATAAATTACAAAGCTATTGAAACAACTGATGCAAAAATTAAAAAAAAACTTATTCATAGTTTTTTTAACTAATAAACTTATAATCTAATCAATATATTTATTATACATAGAGTAGTTGGACACAAAGCTTAGATGTACCCACCCATTAATAATCAAAATATTAAGATGCTTAGTATACTTCAGCAGTAACTGCCTAATCTTCACATAGAATTCATTTTCTGTATTATACTGCCACGCAAATAATGGTTCGACTTTTTATTTTGCAACTTAATTTTCCCATTTCTTAAACTCTAGTCCATCTGGCGGCTTCACATCAACCTTCTCCTTGGACACTTGGTTCCAATTAGTGCTCAGTACGGTACCTCCGGACTCCACCTGAACATGTAAACACAATCTTTGACACTTCCAATTTTAACAGAAAAGTTCTGGAAGCCATGAGAAAGTTATGCAATACATATTTCTCATAATATTGTGTGTAGACAATTATGTACTTTTACTTTAAAAAAGTAACAGTCAATAAAAATATATGGTAAGTCACTGCTCAGTTTTTTATTTTCAAGATCATAATTTCACAACAGTTTATTAGTGTTATGGCATATAATTTGAGCAAGTCAGTGAAGGTTTTTAGTCTATCTTTTTTACGTCATTAGTACATATTAACGTTATTTTTAAATTAATTTCGAAATCATAGACGCTGACTTAAAATATTTGTAGGTATTTATTTTTGCCATTCTTTTATAGAATAACGGTATACGAGCAGACAGTCCACCTCATGGTAAGTGAATGCTGTGGCCCATAGACATTTATCCCCAATTGAAAATCAAAATGCAGATGCCACCCCTGAGGACTAAGATGGAATGAAATTTTGCAGTAAAAAGTCTCCGGTTCTCTACACTCACCATTCGAAATACGGCAGCCTTAAACTGTTATTTTACGATGGTCCATTAAATGAAATATCTTTTACAGACATTAATTTGAAACAGTAAACAATAACTAATTGTGGTTGCTGATTTTCTTTTTTGAAATTTCTGCTGATTCCATATCCTAATTCCCACACCTGTGACATTCGGATCGACTACTTGACGAACGAGAGAAATATTTCCCCGGCATTGGGAATAGCCTGGCTGAATATGGTCCTCTTTCATAACAGGGAATATTAACGACAACCGACACTGACAAGGTATATATTCATCTATCAGAAGTTGCAAAATCTTCTAGACCTTTCTCTAAGATGCCTTTTGTTCTCACAAGATGTTAAATTTACATATAAAAAAGCTTAATCTTCGCTGCGTTGTGGAGGCGTAAGAGAATCCATTACCCCATATAATCCCGTGGGCGTCGTGAAAGACAACGGAGAGAAGTGAAACAGAAGATGGCACCAGCATATTCCTAATAACTCAAAATAAAAACTGTTGCCAACGCGCCTGCCAAGCGTAAACACTAATGGCAAAAACCTTCCCTATGATGCAATCTATGGGGGAGGCCTATGTTTAACAGTGGACTTTTGATAGGCCGTTATGAATGGAAAAAAATCTTAAATAATGTAAGTAGATGTTTTATAGTGAATTGTATTTTCCCCACTATTTGTAGAAAATATTGCAAAAGGCATATAATATGACTTACGAAGCTTTTGTTCATCGCACGACGCACTTCATCCGAACCTTCGCCATAGATTTTTTGAAATAGAGCATTTAAAGCTGCGTCACCTTCAGGTTTTTCTTCTTCTTCCTAAACAATAAAATTAGCATACATTCAATAACAAAAGAGTTCTGGTATGTTCCTTATACTTACTTAGTTTGGAAATGTATGAAGAATAAAAAAAAACATATGTGCAGTATATTTTAGTGTAAACTAAAATGCCTATCAAACTGAGGATTGATTATAATCAAAACTTAGCACCAGAAATGTTCAAGATGTGTGCAAACATTTTGCACTTACCGTATATACTTTCATATGTATTTAGTGAAAAGCTATTATTGTGACATTACAAACAAACACTCCAATTTTATTTATTTGTATCGATTACGGATCATATTGTATCATACTAGCTGTTCCCCGCGACTTCGCCCGCGTGTAATTTAGGGTTTTAATTTTGTTGCGCAGAACCCTAATTATTTTTCTATAATATAAGTAGCCTAAATTACTCCTTATAACATAAGCTATCTACCAGTGAAAGTCCCATCAAAAGCGGTCGAGCCGTTTCGAAGATTAGCCGGAACAAACAAACAGACAGACAGACAAAAAATTTTAAAATTGTGTTTTTGTTATAATTACCGTATATACTTTCATATGCAATTAGTAAAAAGCTGTTATTTTGACATTACAAACAGACACACATAAATAAATAAAAAAAAATATAAATATTCCTAATTATTTCCACAACAGTAAATTAGTTAAAGACACTTCCATAGGGGGATACCATAATAGAATATTATCACCTCATTTCGTCCCCTGGCTGTCTTAGGAGGGAAAAAAAATAGTTTCTTATAGATGGCACTATAACCATCTCGTTTACTTCAAGCGTTAAATATCCGATGTGAATATACCGGCTATGTGCTACAGGGTTAATGGAGTTCCCCTCCGGTGCTGTGATCGTCAAGCCGCCTGCCAAGCGTGCTTAAGGCGAATTCTCTCTTCAACTGGAAAGGTCTACGTCCAACGGTGGACATTTACAGGCTGATGATGAAAAACAAATTCGTTGAGGAACTATGGAATCTCTTCAGTAATAATAAGAACAACAATCTACATGTTTTACTTATTAACTCACCATCTTTTTAATATCTTTCTCTATTTTATCCCAGTCTTTTCTAAATAGCTTCGGGGGCTGCTGTGGTCCGGATGCATCAATTACAGCTGCAAATTTAAGCATGTACATAGCATAATATATTCCATACAAGATAAATGTTTGTTGAGAAAAAATGTCTTACACTGGAATTCATAGTCGAAAGGTGAACCATTACCGTTAGAGTCTAATAACGTCTTCTGCTGAACATAGGTCTCCCACATAGATTGCCTGATAGAGATATTTGCCATAGTTGCCACGCAGTTTTTATTTTATTTTAGTCGTTATTAGGAAGACGCTGCTGCCCATCTCCTAATTTGTTTTCCTCTGACACCCACGGGATGATATGGTGTAATGGATATTCTTACACCACCACTACACAGTTATACTTAACGGTTACGGTATTACTTGTGGTATTACCTAAAGGTTAAAAATGTTGAATATTTTTTTGTCTTTCATAAAAAATTACTGAAGAATCGCCTACCAGAATAGAATTTAATACAACATTGAGGACTATGACTTCCAGTGTTAAGGATTAGTGCGTGCCTAACAGAATTGGATAAAGTCAGGCAAAATGTCTCCTAACCCATTTGGGTAAAAAACTAAATCCATAATGCCAGAAAAATGCACTAGTTAGCGATCCGCTCCGGCCTTGCCTGTACTAATGTAGCGACATTTAGATTTAAGATCATTAAACACATTTGTTTTATCAAATTTTTCGTTTGTTATAAAAAAAACCCAAGTTTTTTGGATAAAATATAGCCAAGATCACTCTCACACTCACTCTCTACCGTTCTACAGTTCATAAAGTTTCATTACAATCGGTTTAGCCAATCTGAAGGTTAGCCTGGATGGACAGTTCTTTTTATATGGTTGTTCGTGTTTTAATGGAATGCAAATAAGCCCCTCAGCTCAATATAATGCATACAGAGAGTAGTAGTACTACAGAGAGTAGTAGTACTACAGAGAGTAGTAGTACTACAGAGAGCAGTAGTACTACAGAGAGTAGTAGTACTACAGAGAGCAGTAGTACTACAGAGAGCAGTAGTACTACAGAGAGCAGTAGTACTACAGAGAGTAGTAGTACTACAGAGAGCAGTAGTACTACAGAGAGTAGTAGTACTACAGAGAGTAGTAGTACTACAGAGTAGTAGTACTACAGAGAGCAGTAGTACTACAGAGAGTAGTAGTACTACAGAGAGTAGTAGTAATACAGAGAGTAGTATCGGAATGCATTATATTGAGCTGTATTGAGCCCCGTGCAGCGGCGTGTACCCACTACCCCATATCTTCCCGTGGGTATAGTAAGAGGCGAGGAAGGGTAACTGAGGCACAAGATGGGCAGCACCACCTTTTCTGATAACAGCAAAACAACAATAAAAAAAACTGCGGTTGCCAATCCGCTCGCCAAGCGTGGTAACAGGGCAATATACCCCCTATAATGAAAGTTAAGAAGAGACGGCCCCCAGTCCCCGGCGGCCGCGCTATTCCTGGCTACAGTGGCGGCCATGGTAACGGCGGGGCAGAGGGTGCTAAGAATCTCCGGTGGAGGTTCGGTTGCCACCTAAAACGACTAAACCTGTCAATATATAACAAACGAACCCTGAGGACTTACGAGCACTGGAAGAAGAGATAAACAAGTTGTGCTGGAATATTATAGGATTATCCGAACCCAAGTTTTTTAGATAAAATATAGCCAAGATCACTCTCACACTCACTCTCTACCGTTCTACAGTTCATAAAGTTTCATTACAATCGGTTTAGCCATTCTGAAGGTTAGCCTGGATGGACAGTTCTTTTTATATGGTTGTTCGTGTTTTAATGGAATGCAAATAAGCCCCTCAGCTCAATATAATGCATACAGAGAGTAGTAGTACTACAGAGAGTAGTAGTACTACAGAGAGTAGTAGTACTACAGACAGTAGTAGTACTACAGAGAGCAGTAGTACTACAGAGAGTAGTAGTACTACAGAGGGCAGTAGTACTACAGAGAGCAGTAGTACTACAGAGAGCAGTAGTACTACAGAGAGCAGTAGTACTACAGAGAGTAGTAGTACTACAGAGAGCAGTAGTACTACAGAGAGTAGTAGTACTACAGAGAGTAGTAGTACTACAGAGAGTAGTAGTACTACAGAGAGCAGTAGTACTACAGAGAGTAGTAGTACTACAGAGAGTAGTAGTAATACAGAGAGTAGTATCGGAATGCATTATATTGAGCTGTATTGAGCCCCGTGCAGCGGCGTGTACCCACTACCCCATATCTTCCCGTGGGTATAGTAAGAGGCGAGGAAGGGTAACTGAGGCACAAGATGGGCAGCACCACCTTTTCTGATAACAGCAAAACAACAATAAAAAAACTGCGGTTGCCAATCCGCTCGCCAAGCGTGGTAACAGGGCAATATACCCCCTATAATGAAAGTTACGAAGAGACGGCCCCCAGTCCCCGGCGGCCGCGCTATTCCTGGCTACAGTGGCGGCCATGGTAACGGCGGGGCAGAGGGTGCTAAGAATCTCCGGTGGAGGTTCGGTTGCCACCTAAAACGACTAAACCTGTCAATATATAACAAACGAACCCTGAGGACTTACGAGCACTGGAAGAAGAGATAAACAAGTTGCGCTGGAATATTATAGGATTATCCGAAGTCCGAAGAGAGGGGAGGACATGGTAATCCTCGAATCCGGCAACTTGTTCTATCACCGGGAGGGCGACCATCTGTCCCAAGGAGATGTCGGATTCATCGTCCACAAGACTCTCGTTAACAACGTTGTGAAGATTGGGAGTGTGTCGAAGAGGGTTGCGTACCTTATACTCAAAATCACCAAAAGGTATTAGCTGAAGGTCATACAGGTTTACACACCAACAGCACATTCCGATGAGGAGGTGGAGGAAATGTATGAGGATATATCTAGAGCCATGCTTCCTCCAAAACCCACTATACGGTGTTAATGGGAGACTTCAACGCAAAACTAGGCCGCAAGAGAGAACGGTGAGTTGAAGGTAGGGCAATTTGGAATAGGGCATTATACATGGTAGAGCCATGCTGCAGCTATATTTCTGGTATAGTTCTAACACGAATGGGTCGACTCGACTGGGGAAGGACCACGCTCTCACAGAATACCGGCGTAAAATAGCAGCTTAATGCTGCTGTGTTTCGTATGGTGAGTGTAGAGAACCGGAGACCCTTTTTACTGGAAACGAGGCATTCCATCTTAGTCGTCATAGGTGACAACACAGCTGCATTTTGATTCGTAATCGGGGATAAATGTAGATGTCTATGGGCCACAGCAACCACTTATAGTCCATGGGCCCACATATAAGGGATGTCAGTGATTAATAACAGGCTGAAAGTTTATACACAGCTTCGTTTTGACGAGACACCCAACTTTTATCATTGGACCAAATTCTGATAGTGGGAGGAAAAAGCGCGATAGGGAGCGAAACACGTCGATTTGATGAGTGTCCCAAATTAAATAATAACAGTTTCTAAAAATCAATACTTCGAGAAAATACGATGGAAAACTGAGAAAAACTTGTGGCATACAAAGTGTAATAGTATCTTCCGAGTGACCCCCAGCTCTAACATGTCAGAATGGTGACTTGAAAAAATTTATTAATAACAAGCGGATTTTTGTTTTGGGCGCTTGCGATATATATATTTTTTATAAAAAATGCATCGGCATACAAGTTTGTTGGTAATTGTTTTGAGACCTACACTCGAAATTTGTCAATATTATGTTAATCTTTTTTTGAATAATAACCGTATGCCACGAAAAATTTATGATTATTTACCTAATTCTTAATCAAAATATAATAGTGACTTACAAAAAAAAAATGGTATTTTTTTAGTTAACCTACAAAAACAAAAAATCGAATCATTTTATATGTGCTCCGTACTTACGAGTATGTCTTGTAACCACTGGTTTCATTTATATTAAACTAATGTTATAAAAATAAAAGCTTGTATTTTGAGTGTATTATCAGAACTTTACTTGCACAAAGCATTTTATAAGTTCTCTTTTCGGACGAAAACGTTCGTCCTTACGTAAAGAATTGCACAAGAAACACTTCATGATGACGATCACTTAACAGCTTCGAAAAGAGAGCTCGAATGGCTCGAATAAACCCATATGGAACGCTTTGAATTGTGTTTTGAAAAATATTCGTTAGAGCTGATACTTACAGGAAGTTGGGAGGGGATAGTGGGTCTTACGATTTTATATCTGAGGCAAAATCACACAGTTCAGCATATTATTTTTTGGCGCGATATTGAACTAAATTCAAATGTAATAAATGTTTTTTTATAAGGCACTGCAAAGAAATTATACTGAAAAAATTATTGCTACAAACATGTATTAGGTATATGTATTTTAGGTAAATATTTTTAATTTGTTAATATAATAAAATAAAGATATTACTTTTAATTCGATTATAAATTATAGATTCAAATTATAAAAAATTTAAAAAACTGTAATTTATATTAAGTTTTAAGTACCTAAACGAGTTATAAATTTTTCGAACTTAGAACTAATTTTTTTATAGACGATAACTGATTTTACAATTTGTTTTACAAAACAATGATTTTTTCCTTACTTGACTATCACTTAAAAATTGTTGTTAACTGAATAATAAAATAAATAAGTAGTTCAATAGCTCAATCACTCGTTACAAGAAATTTCAACAAATTTTCATGCAATTCCCTTGTTTTTATTGCTGTAATTGTTTATATAATTAAGTAATTTAAAAAATAATATTCATTTTCATTAAATAAGCTGTAATATTGTATACGAATTTTCCATTTAAGCAATTTCAAACAAAAGCTGGCGAAAATTATGTACAGGACTTCAACATGTTATGTTTTCAAGATTTAATTGGTTTTAAAATTTCGAAAAGTTCATTTGTAATTAATCGCTTCCATTTTTTTTTGTATGCCAATAGTTTCGTGGTGTTATACGTTTGATTCTTAACACAAAAAAATTAAAAAAGAAGTGGTTATTAATCAAAAAAAGATTAACATAATATTGACAAATTTCGAGTGTAGGTCTCAAAACAATTACCAACAAACTTGTATGC